ACATCGACAATGGAAGACTTCCAGATGTCTTCCATGCACAAATTGAGGATCTCGTAAGTATAAAGTATAAAGTAAAACTGCCCGTACAGTGGCGCAGTATACACGGTTTTCCGGTTTCAAAATAGAACACCCTTGATGAACACCGCTTCTGGTGTCGGAAGTTTTTCTTAACCCACCGTAGAACCGCAGTTGTGCAAGTACAGTGTTCTTTATAGTTTCACATAATTTTACGCCATTCCTTTGCGAAGCAGAGAACCCATTCAGCTTTCGCTGTCAACTGAACTAAGGTCAACTTCGAGATCAGACAACAATGCGATTGTTGTTTTTTTTTAATCATTTTTACTTCCCTTTATTGAGTGAGTATACGAAGATACTATTTTCAGGAAGGGGGAAGCAGTCAATCAAAGGGCTGCAATGCAACACACATAATGGGGAAAGACGGGCGGTGGTGGTGGGATTCGAACACGTCCTCCGGGGTGATAATTGGTGACGGGCCACCACCGCCCCGTTGATTTGTGTGGCTTAATTCGAGGACGTGACGCAAGGTGAAGATTTGGTCAATCCAACCGTGACTTGGTCGAAATTCTGCTTACCATTCGTGAGTATACATCCTCTTTAGGAGTGTTAAGCGGTGAAGTATCTCGGAAGTCAACACTTTGTGATGATTGGAATTAGACTTATCCCGCGGTGGTTTGCAAAGTCGTGCCGTGGTCTTTTCTTGAGGATCGGAACGATCAAACATGTATCCCAGAAAGGGAGACAACTATCCTACCTACCTATGAATAAAAGCTGTGACCGATTCGACAAGAGAGTCACCAGAAATGAGAAATAGCGACGTGCTTGGGTGGACCTCTAACCGATTGTTTTCAGAGAATAATTCATTGACAGAATGTGATTTTTTTATTTCCTCGACAGAATATCCAAACATCCCATAGTTGGTTTAACTACTCAGCATAGGGTTAACTCCCTCGATGCTCTTTGTTGGTCCTATCAGGCAGACAGACTGTTGAAACGTACTTTAAGTTACGTTGGTTTGGATAGGTGTTACGCATATTACCAAATAGGTTATCACGGCACGCGGTTTACTGGCAGGTGGTGGATGTAAAAAAGCCAATGATGGTCAAAGTGAGACCTGACACGAGGTTATGAAAACCCTAATCAGAGGACTCAGTCACATAGATAATACTAGGCTCTCTGAATGATCGTAAACGGTGGTTAGAGACACTGAGTGATATGTCTGAGTGTCGTAAACAGGTGGCGCTCGTGCATCTCAATTTATTTGCAATCTGCGTCCACTGAAATTCTCCAGTTTATCTCCTACTCCACATTCAACTTTTCTGTCTTTCTCCTACTGCTTCACCCAAATGTGCAACCAAAAGACAGCAATCAAAACAGGTGCACGACCGTGCATGGTAAATTTTTGCACGAACTGAAATGAAGCGTACGGCACTCAACATCTGGGTGCTAGAAGGAACGTATCTGAAGCATAAAATAAAAAGGACTTAACCCAGAAACAAAAGATCGCCGTCTGATTGATTGCAGACTGGGATGACCCATGACTAATTGTTCAAATAGTTAATCCCCGTGGTCAACATCCGCGTATCGTAATTCGACAAACGAATGAAACATGAAATGACGCATTCTGATTGCATAAACGACGTACTTTATGTGCGTGAAAAACCTTTTGTTGAGAATGGCAAGAAGGGTAAAAGAAGAAGGGCAAAAGTTGACCACGAAGGCACAAAACGAACTACATGTATAGGAAATGAAAAACAGCCGCACAAAATTACTCACAGTTTCAAATCCGCTTCAAGTTCTGCTCGAAGGTTGGGTTTTGACATCTCCAAACCCATAGTATCATATCCTGAAAGGAAATCGGGCAATTCAGAAGGCTGGAGATGAAACAGTGATTAAAAAGACCATTTATAATAATAATAATAATATAATACCAGAGACAGAAGTTAAAGGAAGGGGACATAGAACGTCAAATAAGAAACAATATTGGATAATCAATTATTCGGCGGTAAATAAAAATGAAGTACACGTAACTCCCCTAAATGATTATTTAATAAGGCAGAATCCAAGATTCATCTTTACACTGCTGTACCTAACCCAGCTTCCGCTTCATTAGTGTTCCCATAGAGACAACAACCTTGGTGCATGCATGTAGCGGTAAGATTTTTACCAGAGATGAATCGCATGAAAAATTGCGCACAGAAAATAAAAGTAGACCATCGGTGTTGGTAAAAAGGCGCATGGCTTTCATGAGAAAACCGGGGGGGAGGCAATAATGCCGATGCCAGACAGAGAGTATACAGTAACCACAGTGCATAAGTTTCAAAAACATCTTAAACCAGGGTGCTGCAGAAGCTTCTCCGGCTTGCAGCATATCCTTAGGCAGATACTGATCTACAAAGGTGAGTACAATATAAGTGTGCGAGTAGGAAAACTTCAATTAGAGGACTTGATTGTGGGCTCCTCGGGATCAGCCTGTACACAGGTCGGAGATAATAAATCAAATGCACGGAACTGTGTCATAAACAGCAGTAATAGTACGTCCAAACACTTACGACTCTGCTCGGCTCGTGTCGAATATCTTTTGTTTTGCTTGTTAGATAACTTCGTCAGTTAATTGGGTAGGAAACCAAAACNACTGGTCGTTCGAACCGAATTACGATTGCTTGCTAACGATGACAAAAGGACATTATATTTTTAAAAAATTGCATCACAATCTCCAGCACTGTGAAGGACAACGAAACACTCACCATCAACCAATCCCATGCCAAGCTGACCCGGGACAAGAAACTTTGCTTGTTCCATTCCAACATACAAACGTTGTTTGATTGTTTCGATGTGATCCGCATGAGTCGCGTCAGTCCCGATCCCATGGCGTTCCATCAGACNGCTTCGGTCAGAAGGGGAGGTGGACTGGTCTGTCCGGATAGCATCTGGTGGTCGAATGAAAAAGGAGGAAGAGAAGCGAAGGCATATTGGCAATAAATTTATGGATTTGTTTGGGGGGGGAGTGGAATAAAACTGGCTACCTTTCCACAGAAAAGGTGATCGAATGGTTAAACCGTATCAGTGGAAATAGTAAAAGTTCAACTAAGAGAACTGATTAAATAGGTTTGAGAGATCGCGTTGTTGTCTTAGGAAGACAGCTTGATTGATAGCTTCAATTCTTTCTCTCTTCCATATGAAAAAGAGTATTTTAAGACTGGATGATAGTGATCTGAGTTTCGAATCCCGCCGCCACCACCGGACTTTGGTGGTAGGCAGCTTTGCTGTCGTCCGGATAAGTACCACGCCTGGTCTATCTTGGCCTTAAGTGGTACGCCACTCCAAGTCACGCGGGGCTTAGGTTACCGGTTTCCATCACTGAGCAGCAGGTCCTCGTGAACATCGGATTTGTCCCGTCTGCTGTTCATCACACTTAGGTGTGTTATAAAAAAAAATCCGGGAGAAGGAGATAGATAAATGGTCTAATAGGCATTCAGAAGTCTTATTGCGTCTTCGAAAAAGGAGGGAATCCCGAGTTTGTTAGACCCAGGGGTTACATACCTCCTATCTACATTACCTACCGCCGAAATGAGGTACCGCTGTACTCACCAATTTATTTTAATTCAGCTCACCGGTGAGAGGAGTCACCGCCGAAAACTCTTCTAACCAGGTCTGGCAAGCTCAAACTAAATTTAATTCATTTCAGCTTTTCACTTTACTTCTTTTTCATTGAACACGCAAAGATACGATTTTTCAGGAAGGTGGAAGCGGCCATTCAACACACAACGGGGGAATTCAGACGCTGGTGGTGAGATTCGAACACATCCCGGGGGTGATCAAATGGCAAACAATCCCGCAAAACTGTGATCTTTTGGAGCTTCATTCATACATGAAAGCATTTTCATGATGATTACTAATGATGATTTCGGTCATTCATATCGAACTGAACAGATTTTAAAGTTGTCGACTAAATAATACACATGCGATACTAGGTTAGCCCAAACAATTCATTCATCAGCAGCCAAGTACGATACGCGTTTCGCACCTTCAAAAAATAAACTGTCACTAAAATATTGCGTTGCTCCGACACAGTCTTACTGCTACAGGGGAAGTAATAGAGCAAATGCTATC